AATTTATCTTCCTCAAAGGGAAGAACCTTCAACATGAGAAGTTAATAACATGAAGCAGGAGGTGGGGGGAGCAACAGGATTGTGCCTGTTTTATGTAGAGACAGAAGCACCAAAATATTAAAACCTTTAGGGTACCACCTATTTCTGTCTTCCTGATGACAGTAGCTTTGCTAAAGCTTTATATAGTAAAATGTGATACTTGGTGATTTAAAATTATTTTAAAAGTAACAAATTAATGTGATAGGAAAAGATCTTCAATTTCTCTGCTGCATATATAAATTTGCTCTCAGTACTGCTGAGATGTACACACAGCCACAGTGGAAAGGTAGGAAGCCTTTCACTCCTTTGGCAAGAATTCAACAAAAGATAGAGTCTTGACGTAATTATGAAATATCTGTCAATGCTGCCATTTGAGATAAAATCCAATGAGATACTTTAGTTTCTAAATCCAAGGGGTGTCTGAATGATGCAACAAAACGTACAGGGAAACACAGCCTATATTTGGAGACAAATAATTTTATTTGTGTATGTATCTGTGCCTGGTTTCCCTCGGTCCCAGGGAAATAACACCCGTCGTTGAGACTGGATTTGCTGCAGGGGTTCCCTGTGAGAGTCCCTCCCATCCAAAGAACAGCAGAGCAAAAGAGAGCTGCCTGCCCTCATCCAGTGCATGCCCACCCTGCCTCACTACCTCCCACTGCTAACTGCTCTGGGGTTAGGGGGAAACAGCAGAGGGAAAAGAAAAGGCTGCAGTGACCACCTACAAGTGATCCCCACAATGCCTGCTGGCTCCTCTCAACCCCTGCTTGTTACCAGGACTGGGGGTGGGAAAAGGACTTGCCCCTCTGTGGGTTATCTACTCTTGGGAACAGGTGAGAAATTGTGCATTTTGGAGAAAGGCTCCAGATTTCTTTGGATTAAAGATGCTAAAATTTATTGTTCATGAGTCCCATGTCCAGCCTTAATAGTATGGGAATACTATCACCCCGTTCCTCAAAGAAGGTAAAGTCGCTTCTCCATCTAAATTTCTTGTTGGCCCTGCTTTCTCCTGATATGTCACAGCAAAAATAAAAAAAAAAAAATCTTTGCAATTTACCTCATGGGCTTTGTGGGACTCTGTATGAAGATGGAGGCCATTCCTGGTTCCCCAGTGAGCAAACATATTAATATTTTCCATTTCTTTACATGCTGGCCAATAAATATATTACCAGGATACAACAACTCAATTACTAATAAATTTAGCAAAATTAAGTATTTTTGGCCTTTTCCACTCATCCTCTCTGTTGCCTTATCAGAGAGATATTTTGGATTCAATCTAAAAATTTGACTATTTTCTTCCTTGCTTTTCACTGTCTCATTGGACAAGGCACAATACTTACACCGTTATCTTAGTACCACTTTGCCCTCTTCCCTACAGTTTACCACAACTAATAGATAGGGCCTTAGCCCAAAAATAGATTTTATTTTCTAGTAGGGCTACAACCAGCAATAAATACCCAGAGATCCAGGTATTTTCATACTAAGTTACAGTTAGAAACATATTTTTTTCAGCTCAGTGCTATGATTTTACAAAAATCTTTGGGTTCCTTTATCTTCACCCCCACTGTAACATCAAATTGGCTGGTGATATGATACTGACAGTATAAGTCATTACAGGTCTGACGTTACAGTTGTTACACATTGCTGAATCTGTCAAATGGAAAGGGAGCACAAAGGGAATTTCCAAATGCAGCTGCTATTTCCCATTTGTTAAGTCCTTTTATTACACCATATAAGTACACAGCTGGGAAATACTACAGAGTAGGAGTTAAAACAAAATATTTTGGCTTCCAGACATTCAGAATACACAAAGGACTCAGTGGAAAGCAATGCCTGATATCAAAAGGGAGTGAAAGTTTGAAAACATTTCTAGCCAGTGTGTTTTTTTCCTGATAATGAACAATGTAGTTTAAAGGTATCTTACAGAAAGTGCTGCGTACCATAAATGTTGGGTAAAAACACAGTTTTTTTTCACTAAAATTGCCCTCCTACAGTATCTTTTCTAAACTTGAGATCTGTACAGCCCTCGTAGAAAATTATGATGCATACTGTGTGCTCTTTCAAATTCCAGTGAACTCCTTAGTAGTTTTAAGGACAGAAAGGATACAGGATTGTGCTCTTAATTAGATACCAGATAAAAGAGAAATTTTTCCTCCCCATATGTCGACACAGCATTCTTTGAATTTACTATCTTTTAAGCAGACAACACACATTATTGATGCATTTTAATGACAGCACTACTGTCTTTACTTTCAAAGTAAATGCTATGAACAGGTGCTTCTTCAAATCTGCTTCTAAAGGATCCGTCTGGGAAAGGTCAGAAAGTGCTTACCTTCTGGGAATTTGGGTTTATTAAGTAAAAAAAGCGGCCAGTGCCACAGCACCTATCTCAGAATTGCCCAACCCACCTCCTGGAATCTGTCTTTCTGGAAAGAAACATCTATCCTCCCTCTGAGGAGCATGAACATGTTTTCATCAGGATAGTTGCAGGCCCCTCTAAAGTCTTTCTTAACAATATAAATGCCTGCTTGACTGAGATACTTCAGAGAAAGTTTCTGCAATGAATATAGGCTTAAATGTTTGCTGATAAAGAACATATTTAAGTAAGAAAAAAATAATGAAAAATCAAACAAGGAACTTAAATGACAGTCCTTCAAGGAGGAAAAAAAAAATTCCCCAGTTCACTGTTGTGATCTCACAACATAACTAAGTCACCTAACTTTAAATACACTTGGACCTTGCTCTGTACATTTAGAACTCTTTTAATTGCAACCAAAAAACATGTCTCTAGAATTTCAGTCTTCACTGGTAGCCAAGCCTTGTAAATTAGACCCTGCTTTGAGCTGGGAAGGAAAAAAAAATCCATTTGGTTTAGCTGAGAGCTTGTGAAATAAGGTTGACATATATCCACCACCAGATTTAAGCCTAGGGACTTGTGGAAACTGCTAATGATTTTCAGGACATTAACCTACATGGAATATTTACTGGAAAAAGGAGATAGGAAAACCAGAGTGCTAAGTCCCTCAAGCAAAGTTTATGCACCTGTTCTGAAACCTGAGAGGCTGTGCAGTGATTCGTGCCTGTCCAGAGGTACAGCGAGTGTTGACATGACAGTGCAGCGTTAGGAAAGGAAGCAGAGATTGCTCTCTGCCACTGGGACTACAAACCCCTTCAGAGCAATATGAGCACAAATGATCACACTGTACAAGGGCCAACCATTTTGGCTCACTCCAGGTCCAAGGAACAGGCTGAACCAAAAAAAAAAAAAAATTGCATGGAGGGATTGCTGGAATCTAGGAGTTCCTTTCTCTCTAGGACACAGAGTAATTTTATCTATGATACTGGTGTCCTAACATCAAAATTCCAAGAGTGCACCTGCCTCTCAGAATGAATGGAGAAGTAGCTGATGAATTCACAGATTAACTTTTTCCATCAACAAACTGGATCAGTCCTTTCTAGTCTGCATGCAGCTTGTCCTCCTGATAACACAGAAGTTAAAATTATTCTAATGCCTTTATTGCATAACTTGGGCAAAAGAATGACTCACTGTCCAAAATTCTGAATATAAACCATATATACAACTTACAACCTACTTCTCCAAATTACTAAGCTATAATAATTTTTCTTTAAAGTGATTTTGCAGTGGAAGTTTTGCCTTCTTCATGACAATCACCCAAATACCCAAGAATATTTTAGGCCTGACAAAGTTCTGCACTGGGTTAAATTGTGCATTATAGATTAGATAGCAATTTTCTGGTTTGGTTTGATCTCTTCAATCAATTGGATTTTAGGAGAGAAAAAAAACAACATTATATGAACAAAATAAATCTTATTGCAGTTCTATTATTTAACTATTTCCAGACATGATAATAGGTACAAAGAACTCTGGTATCTCTGCTGATTAATGCATTAGATTTATTATATCTAGTAAAATATTAAATGAGACCATTATTGTTGATGGTGCTAAAAACATTCTGCAATTGTGCTTAACATTATTAAAATCTGGTGATTTGTACCAGAAAAAAAAAAAAAGATATTTCTAAAAAAAAATTGCTCATAGATATTTAATAGAAATTGAGAAATTTTATGAAAATGCAGATTATTCTTTTTAAGCTAATTGTCTGAATTTAAGGTTTTTGAAAGTCACTTTCTAGAGAGTCTGAAATTATGATATGCTAAATTTACAGAGCACCTGGCTGCTCCACATATCTTAATTCCATTTCTGAGGAACACACACAAGGGAAATAAATTGACAAAGATGCTTTGCCCATTCAGCCTTCATTCAGCCTGCCCATTTATTGCAGAGTTTTGGGGATTCAGAGACAGAGCTACAACCACTAAATAAATTTTATTTAGGCTACTGAAGAGACCAGGGATAATATGTCTGATCATTTCCAGTGTCACTTGTGACTAAGTGGTGATCTAGCTACTTTTAAACACCTTTCACCTCCACAAAAAGTTGTAATTTCCTAAAAGCACAGTAGTATGTTTGTGTCACCTAAAATGCCAGCTTCTTTGTTGCCGTGTAAAGATATAATATTCTAGATTTGATAGGTCCTGTTTCTGGGAGATGAGTAAAAAAAATACATTAAAGTTTCTTCCTTCAGCACAACACTTTGCAGATGACAAACAGTTGTGAGCTACATCCCCCTGTCAGAAATTAATGCTTGAATATATGAGCTAGAGAGGTTATGACATAAATCAAGGTATGAATGAAAACATGATAAATAGATGCATTTCCTTTCAGAAGGTGAACTCATCAAATGACCTCATTCCAATAGACCTGTATACTTAAATAAATTATACAATTGTAATTTAAAATTACACCATACAATGTTGATCTACTGCCGACGCTTTACCATTTAAAATGCTTTACACCTGCACACGTCTTCCCAAAGGGCAGTGAGCAATCTCCTACAACACTAAATCTGGAAAGCCCCTGTGGGGATGGCAAAACTCACCATTCTGTGTTGGGCTGAGATTACTCCATCCCACTCGGGGTCCTGCTGGATGGTGGTGACCAGGGTCGGTAGCTCCTCAGAGTGAGGTTTGTTGTGCATGACATTGTGTAGAGGCAGATGAGGGGCCGCGTGCTGATCACTGTTGCCCTCCTCCTTGTCTCGTGATGCTAAGTCCTGGGTCATTGTTTCCTCTCCATCAGCTGCACATGCAAATGGAGAGGTAGCCTGCTTGGAAGACATTCTTCTGCGAGACAAGAAAAGGGGACAAAAAAAAAAAATATTGGTGCTCAGTGACAAAAAAAATCAAGCTCAAAACAGTCCTCTGAGTGCATCACACCTGCCTAGAACAGTAACAAATTAATCACCTGCAGTCAACAGAAGTACTCTAAAAAGCACAGGCTTGGGGGTCTGGATCCAAAACACTGCGGAAAAGTGTTCCTTTACGCCAAGACAAGGTCAGGGTTAAGTTATATGACATCATTCTATTCATTTAGACTTGTCAAACAATATAATTTTCTCCAGCCATAAGAAAATAGTGCTTTTATTGGTATTTCATGTTGATTTTGTTGATGAGTTCAATTCTTTAAACTCTTACTCCCATAAGCAACCTGAAGATTACAAGCAAATGTTTAAAGGAGAGAGCTCATCATGCTTGCCTGATTCCTTTGCAAGCAGAAGATGCTTTCTACATATAAGAAAATCAATTTTAAATCCATTTCAAAATCTGCTAAATGAGTCCTTTTGCTGTTTGTTTAAAGGTGTACTGCTTTTAGATGGTTTAAAATTTTGCCCAGTTTTACTTTTCAGAAAGTGTTTTGAGAAACTCATGTGAAAAGTGTTCTCAGCCTAAAAGGTTTATTAAATGGATGGATAATACCTTAGTAACATTTTACAGTTCAAACAAAAAACCTAAAATAATTATGTTTCCTTTCATATTAGACATGAAATACAGGATATAGCTCAACAAAATACTTTAAATTACTTAAAAGTGCAATGAATAAATGCACTGATTTATGTTAAATGCCTTTTCCTAATAATGGCCTCTTACTACCATCTCATATGCAAACACAGCTTTCGCCACAGTTTCTGCACTTAGATGAAAATATTACTGACTTCAACTTAAAATCTGAAAACACTGTCATTTAAAATTTCTAGTAAGATTAACTGCAACTGTTAAAACAATCATTAATAAACTTGAAAAGGGACAGCTAAAATATATTAGTTATTTTCCCAGGTCTTAGTAACTTCAGAATATCCTTGACACCGAAATTGCTGAGAAACTAAGGAATAAGATCTTCACCTTAATTGCTTTTTAACAATAATTGATTTCATACCATTTCTTTAAAAATGCACAAATCAGTTAACATAGGAAACCACATGAGCATTTTTCAAATTAGCAAATCATTAACTTGCTAGTACTGTTTCTACAGACAAATAAATACTGATTAAAGGGTCTGGAAATCTGAGACTAACAGTTAAATTTACAAATCTGTCACATGCTTTCATGAATATTACAGTGAAGGAAATATCAAGTGCAAAGAAAAATAATTAAGTTAATTCCAATTTAAACAGTAGTTTTTATGTAGCAGCCTGTGTTTCACATAGGATTTAACAGCTAATGCTAAATTTCTCACAATTAATGAGGGAGTTCAGATTTAGTATCCTACAGTGAAAAAAAATTAATATAGGATCAACTAATCTAATTATGTACAGTTCAATATGAAAGTATTACAAGCTTTGAAGTGCTCTGAAACATATTAAAACACTGATACCTATTTAGAATAACTATTCTGTAAATAGAGATAATCCTGCCTCTTAAACTCGATACTGGTGGGGGAAAAAAGGTTTGTGTTTTCTTTAGGGAAGCCTAAGTGTAAGTGGGAGTCTAACATGAGTGCTGCCAATAAGCAGAACTGAGGAATTTAAACCGTGCATTACATTCTTCCTATGCTAAAGAATTTGCGTTGATGCTACAGAGAACATGCCAAGAGTTCAGCAACCGGCGTTATCGTGTGTACTTCAAAAGGTTCTGGCTCATAATTGCTATGATCCAAGATAAAATAAAAGGTTGCTTTCCCTTTTCTCATTAAAGTAGTCACATTAATGCAATCACTCACATGAAAATATAAGTCGTGCTTTGCGTAATTTGAAAACCCGACATGAAAACCGAAAGTCACAATAAAGGTTTTTCCTTTCTTTCACCTTCCCAACAGATCTCATTCCTGTTTCATACTGAACGAGCTTCTGTGTAAAGCAAGAGCTATGGCTGTTTCTTCACCATAAATTAATCATGACACAAAACTAGGAATGAAAATGTCTCTTAAGAATAATTTCAACTACAAACTGCACCAATGAATAATACTGCACAATCCTAATTAAACACAACTCTGCAGCTGCAAAAATAGGCTGAATCTGTCCAAAGCTACGAGTTGGCTTTAAAGGCTGGTTTGTTAGGGACTGTTTTCTTAAGGAAGGCTGGGCCCTCAGTCTTAATCAGCCAATAAATTATTTCCTGCAATTACATTAAATAGAAAATTATCTTCAAATTGGGAATGTTAATTGAAAATCAAAATTCAGACTGAAGTTTAGAAATTACATGCTGAATATAATTAGTCTAGAAAGGCTTCACCTCTATTTCATAAACAGGCTTTTGGTGTTTCCCCAAGTGACCATTCAGCAAAGCTATCTACTGGTAATGCACTATAGGGGAAGCATTTTTTCCTTGACACGTACACTAATGTACTTTCCTCTTATTCATGACGTTTTAAACACAATTCAATAAAAATATCCATTCAATTGCTGTAAAGTTGATTGCATCAAGAGAAGGGACTTTGTTAACAATAAAAATAAAATTATAAAAAGTCCCATTGACTAATAATCTCAAGCCATGCCCAGCAGCTTTTTTCTGCACTGGAGTAAGAGAACAGACCAAGGGTAGGGTTCAAGTGTTTCCTAGCTCCACCCACCACTTTTCTCAACTGCTGCATTATGGACAGACACCTTCCATGCTGCACTTTAGTCAGTCACCTATAGTCTTGGAGCCTGGAAGGGAAGACAGGCTCAGGCAGGCCTCCCAGGCACTTGTTTTCTTGTGGCATAATTTTAGGGGCATGTTTCACTTCTATTTTCTCCAAAGGTTTGCTAAAACAACTAGATTTAATGGTAACTTTTTGGTTATTAGATTTAAAACATTGGATTTAAAGGCACAGATGTGCCTACAGATGTGTGGGGGCCTGTTAGATTAAGCCCTCCACATTCTTTTTCCAGTACAATCATTAATTCAGTGAATATAGTTCACTTGGACATGGTTTTCTGAGGGTGTCCAGTTATGCCTGGGTTTCCAATCAGGAAAGCAGAGCAAATTTAAACTCTGCAGATGGGTGTTATCCAGCAATTTGGGAGAATTCTGAACACATGATTCCATCAGGTCAAAAGGCAGAGTTCAGTCAATAACTTCAAGGTCTCATTCAATTCCAGTGGAGAAGACTCTGGCCCAGCTGAGTCGTTTATGTTTATGATAAAATTAAGTCGTAGAGCAGCGTGTTGTGTTAAAATATTTCAATGTTAAAATATGAGCATGAATAGCAGCCAAATTTTAAGCCATAACAACTTCCCAATTTTATATTTAAAATATTCAAAACGCATTTGCTAAAAATCCCTGCTGAGAGGGGGGGGGGGGGAAATCAATATTCATAATAAATAAGGCTTGTAAAACGTATCAGAAATTTACTAATTTCCATTATAATTTATTTTAATTTTTTTCTGCTATTATCAATTAAACTTACTGGAATGTTTTTTTTAAAAAAAAAAAAGTTTCTGATAAAAAAATATCTCCCTAGTTATAACCCCTGCAAACAGGGGTTTATAATGGAAGTGCTGACACAACCCTAACTACAGCAGCGCAAATGGTGCCGCTATAATACACAAAATCAAGTTCTATTATTCTAAACTATCCTCGCTCGGGGGGTTTTCTTTACTGTGCTCCCAGACAAACTGCTGAAGCATGAAAAATTTAAATGCAATCAAGTGGGTCCAATTCTACTTTACTAGAACAAGTGTCTACAGTGGTACAATCTTAAAAGAAGATGCAACAGATTTGTTTGGTGCTTTTCTTTCTTTTTTCTTTTTTAGCTGTTTATTTATAATACTGTGCAGTGGAGATAAAATAAGAGAGGAAATTACACTCACATTATATCAGTATATTGATTACACAGCACACAATCAGAAAGAAAACTACATTGTGAAATTGTTGCTTTGGTTAAATTGACAGATTAGCTGAACACAGCAATCACTAAAGGTGGAAAATATATCTAATGGGTATGAGAAAAGGTTGAAAAAGGCCCTAATTAACTGAAGTCCTATCACCTACTCAAGTCTGAGAATTTAAAAAATCTTGAACCATATTTTCCAACACTAGAATAAATTCTACCTCATTTTGAATTTGAGACATAAACAAAATGTGATCATTTATCAAAAGGTCAGCAAACTTGAAGGATTGGACCCCAGTTTCAAACAGACTCAGGTAGAAAACTAAAATTGAACTCCTACAGGCTTTTTTTACCTACAAAAAGCTAAACAGAGTCCCAAACAGCTTCATTTGCTATAGATATGACCTGATTTTTTATTTTAAACCAGAGAAGAAATTCTCTCTGCCCTAAAGAAGACTGCCAGTCATATTCAAAGAACATTGGTTTTCCTTTTTTCCTACATCCAATGTGTGTTATACCTTTCTAAATGCAAATATTAATACTTTTTTTTTGTCTAAGGTTTTCCTACGGTCTCAAGTTCTTAAAAAAATGTGTATCCTCTTTTTGAAAACAATTAGCTGATAGTCCTGACATAAAAGGTTTCCAAAGCATGAAAAATCATCCATCCCTGTTGACTGCTCAAATGATTAAATGTTACAGTAGAAATTAAGGCAAGACGTGGAGTTTCAGCTGCCAGACATTTCAGAATCAAGCCACGAAGTACAACAACAGATAACAACAATGACCCAGACACCATTCCAAAAACATAAAAACTGAGCAACAACAATAAGATATATGACAAAGCAGACTTATAGTTGGCTGGGGGCTCTTGCTTCTGCTCTGCTCCACCCTCACAAAGCATTCATAAACCTAGAGGCATGTCTACACTGCAGCCACATAAATGACTGCTTTGTAATGCTCAGATATCCAAACTAATTTTAAACAAGCTTGCTTCTGATAGCTCTCCAACTACAGTAGCGTGGTGCTCAGATGGACT